GTATCATCTGCATAGTTATGGTAGCTAATCTTATTTCCTGTTATAATCTGAGCCAGTGGGAGCATATAAATATTGAATAAGAGGGGTCCTAGGACTGTACTTTGTTCTTGTAGTGTCTGGAAACAAATTAGTCTGTTTCTGTGGAGAATGTTTTTGGCTTAACTGTCATGATGTAGGAAAAAAAGCATAACTGTACATGAGAAGCATGTCTGCTGCTCAACCTGCAGTTTGCATTCATAGCATCAAATCAGGGAGTTTTTGCTGCATGATTTTTTTTTGGTATCAAATCAACTAAGTGGTTTGATTATTCATCTCATCCTAAATCCGAGTATGATCCCCATCACTTCAGCCTGTTCTCTCACTTCATTTATCACTCTGAACACAGCCATCTGGACCAACCTGCAGGGGTCTCTGCAGTTGTGGGTTGTGTGAATAGTAGACAGGTGGCTGGTGACCCTGCTGAGTCATTTATTTGAATATATCCTAATGATGGAAAAAGAAAAGAAAGAATTCATTATTACCTTCTTTAGCAGAGTGAGCATTATAACATCAAAATATTACACCAACAGTCTTATTGGTTTTTATAGTATATTTTAATGGTGTTTAGCATCTAGTTAGTCAGTAAGCTATCAAAGTTGCTTAATAAATAGTCAAACTTGTATAACATATGGTACATGTTATTTAAATGTAAGATTCTTAGAACCAAGCTTCTGAGAGGAAATCCTGATATGTAGGAACTGCTTGGTTGATACTCGTATAGTATAATGCCTCCTACACACCATAACCCTCGGCCCACTCTCTGCTTTAGACACTGCCAGTATACACTTTCAGACTTTCTGCTGAAGCATTGACACATCCACACATTCTAACACTTCCCTCTGTAGCTACCCACGTTTTCTGTTGTTCTGGTTTGTCCTGCAGGATGAAACTCTGCTAGCAAAAATATGCCTGGTCATGTTGAGAAACTTTTAATCAGAATCAAAATCTGAATTTACTCATAGTTAAAGGAAATACACTTGTGGAAGTCTGACATGTCCTACTGTCTGCTCTCCTACAGATTTGAGGTACACTATAATGCCATCAATAGTGGGTCAGCTCCCCAAAACATTGAATTCACGTGCCCCAATAACTTACATGTACAGGTGTATAAAATTTGGCAGCTTGGTTTGCAGACTGATTCTGTTTGATTCAGTTTATTTATAGCACCTATTCACAACATGTTGTCTTAAGGAACATTATAAAAAAAGGTAGCTGTCCAATCATACAGTCAGATAAGATTTGCAGTCAGTTACATGCTTTCCAAATTGATGCTAGTTACTAAATGATGACGCCAAGTTTAGTTTATTATTCAAATTGGTATAAATTAATTTTCTGCCTAAGGAAACCCAGCAGATTGCATTGAGTCATTGACTTGCAGCATTCACTCCCCCTGAACAAACACATAGAGATACTGGACAGTCACTTACATTGTGTTGTTGACTGATAATCCCTCATGGTTTTGACATCCCTTCTGGTTATTACATTGTTTTATTTGATTCTACTGAGGCTGTTCTTATGGCAGATCCATTTGACATCTAACGTCATTACACATCTCCATTTTCTGCTGCTAGCCTGGGTGTTTGTCTGCTTGGATTGTGTTTGTCCAGGGTGTATACGCAGTAAGCAACTTCAAGCCAAGTGAAGATCGCTCCAGAAGTCAACTGAATCCTCCCATTCTTAGAGAGCGACCCCTCTCTTCCCTCCCCAATGTCAGCCAATCAGCAACCAGCAACAGCCACCAAGGTAAAATCCTGTGCCCTTTGAAATGTGTTAAATGACACCTTTAACACACATTATACTTTCACACTAAAGGCTCCCACATACTAAGGCATACTGTGCATATGCTGTTAGCTGCACAAACTCTGCAGACAGTTCAAATTTTATTGTCAAGTATACTGATTGCCTGTATTTTTTGTGACAAGTTCCTTAATTCCTCACAATCTTTCCGAATTGATACTAGTTTCCAAATGATGAAGTCAAGTTCAGTTTATTATTCAAATTGGTAAATATTTGTTTTTTGACTAATCAAACCCAGCAGATTGCTAGCAAGTTTGCTGAGCCAGCTGGGCGCCTGGTCCCATTTCTGCTTCACCAGGGCAACCACTGCACACCTGTCAGTGCGGCACAAAGTAGCAGTCTGATGCGCTTTCTAACAACTGATTGCGCTGACTCTCAGCCTTATCAGCTCAATGTCACATATCAAACAGTTCGATGTGGACAGTTTTCCACTGAAACACTGAGCATATGCATATATAAAAATGTACCTTTGCACAGACATGTCCAGCAGACATACTGTGGAGTGAAGTACACGAGAGTATGTGGGGGCCTTAAGGTACACACCAAACAGAGACAGAACACACTGAGACGATTTTAGGTTTTTTTGTTTTTTAGACTCTGTGTCTGCATGAATCCAGTGTTTTGGCAGGCCAGAAACAACAGTCATTTTGAAACTGGATCCCAGAGTTGATACATTTCAAAGTGAAAACCATAGACATAATATAAGGATAGACCCTCATGGACCGCTCTCATCTATTGTCG